TCGCACGGTTGTGCCGCTGGCCTGGCAGTTCAGCCCCCATCTCTGATTCGTCACTGGGGAACACCCACAAACCACCCGTAACTCAAAAAAAATCGAGCCGCTCCTAGCTAGCTCAAAAAGGGGACTAATTCTAGTCAAAGACTCCGTGTTGGACTTCACTTATTATATATATATATGACGGTTGTCTGAAATTCCTTGGTCCGGAAACCGCCATCTTCGCGAGAAAAACATTAACTTTCGCGGACCCCATCGCGGAACTTTCGCGGGGCTGTTTTCAGAACATTCATCACAAAAGTAGTACACGAAGTACACTTTCGCAGCCCCAGCGCGAAAGTCGCAGCTCTTCAGTGCTTGACTTGGAAAGTAGTACACGAACTAAACTTCCTCAGCCTCGAAAGTCAGAGCTTTTCAATACGAAAGTAGTACACAAAGTGAACTTCCGCAGTCCCAGCTCGAAAGTCGCGACCTTTCAGTTCCAAAGTAGCACGCGAAGCGCGCTTCCGCAGCTCCAGCTCACAAGCCGCAAGCTGCGCATGAGAGGACCCGTTGGCCTCATGTCCGGAAACTGGCGGGGAGGTCCGTCGACTTTCGCGAAACTTTCGCGGATCTTACGCCAAACATTCGCGAAAATCCGGCTGGAAGTTGCGCTCAGCTTGCCCCGACAGCTTCAAAACTCCCAGAAGCTGGTTTCTGCTGGCTGGGGGTTGCTTTTGCAGCGGCGTATTCTTGTGGCGACCCTCAGGCTGCGCATTCTCCGACCAACTTTACTCTGCGTGCATTCTGCGCGCACTGCCGGTAGATACACATGGTTCATCACTCCAGCTTCCTGTGCCACACAAAACTTTCGCGGAACAAAAAAATAACTTTCGCGACCCCCTTCGCGGAACTTTCGCGAAGGTCAACGCTAAGACCAAAAGGTCGTCCCCTTCATAGCTCAATACAACGACCTTTCGGACGACTCATATGTATGGGGGATTTCTCTCCACCAACCATGAGCGTGCTCTGCACTAAACGTCTTTTTGATTGTAGCCCAACCTTGCAGCTCCTGGGATGGAACACAAGTTTCGCTTTCGCCGGTCCAAATGCGCCAGAGATGAGTCAGGCAATGTGGGAGGCTGCCTCCGATGTGAACTGCTACAAGGACGGACCTGTAGCCGATCCCAGGAATTGCAGGGCTGTAATTGAGGCCCGGGAAAGCTCGGGCGTCGCGGTCACGAACAGCCGCCTTCGGGAACGCAGTGGATCGCGGATCGCACCCCACTACAAATGACCAAACTTGGTTTGAGTGCGGATTTCTCGGTTTCCCAATAGCCGAAAGCATGAGGTGAGGGACAACTGATGACAACTGGGATCCATTCTTCCAGCTCCGTGTATTCGTCCCTCCCGACTCCTGCCTCCCCGCACACGTACCCGTTGCAGGCGCCGACGCATGGCCTGCCAGCAAGAGATGCCACAGCGCAAAGGCAACAAAGTTGGTTGCCCCTGGCGAGATGGTGCCCAAATTCGGCTCTAAGACCAAACTTCCAAGCCCAGGGGTCCTCAGACTTGAGGCTAGCCGAAGTTCCCGAATCGTCCATCGCAATCCCGTGGCTTGCCTACGCCTAGGGAAGGCGGTGATTTTCCGTGTGTTTCTTCTGGCTGGTGCTAAGCCGGCAGGAAATGAGAACCATCCAACTGGTGGTTCCCTTTCTTCCTGCACTTCTTCCGGTTCATTCCCACTTTCCCGAGATCGCACCAGCAAGTTTGGCTTCCTGTGAGCCCTTTTTTGTGCCCCAAATCTGCAGCGCACCTGCCATCCGTCGCCGCTCAGCACCCGCACATCGTGCCTGAGGAGAAAAACGAGAGAGTCCGACACAGGGGGAAACTTGCTGCGATCAGTGGGGAATGTGGGAACGAACCGGACGGGGGTTCCCGAATAAAGGAAACCACCAGTTGGATGGTTTTTCAGGGTCATTTCATTTCCCATTCATTTATGGAAGACTCACCGTCTCATTGCAAAAGTACCAGGACAAACACACATGTATTTGAAAATACAGAAACTGTGTGCACACTTTACCCCATGGCTTAACAGCAGGGACAAATATGATCGAGAAAATGTTGCAACTATACTGTTGATTGTTCACTATATAATTTGTGGTGCGGATCTAACACCTACGATGCAAAATTCCACGCATCTTGGATCTTCAATATGAATTGAATCTTAATAGTGCGGTGCAGTCTATGTAGTTGTGTTGCCAGCTTGGGCAGGCGAACAAGCCTACTGCGCCCGTGGCGCGATCCCCGTGCCTTTTAGGGGAAGGGGGTGCGGAGGACCCTGAGAGCTCCCTGCGCTATGAGTCAAACACACAAACGAGAACCCGGGAGTCCGAGCGTATGTACTGAGGCTGGGCGACCTTTCAGTTTACCACGATGAACAAGTTCGTCTCCGATCTTCAAGATCTCACTCCACGAGGCATGTTGCACGCCTTCTCACCGGGCACGATAGAACAAAAACCAAAGATCCAATAACTTGGTGACCCGTTGTATGTGATCCAAAAGCATGGCTGGAGGCAGATGCCACATGATTCTACGTTGGAGAATCAACCGATCGGAACCGATTCATTCGACCCGCTACAACCAATGTCGATCCCAAAGCAACTCAGAAGCCCAGTGGCCCTGAGAAACAAGGGCACAAGCTCGTTAATTTGCTTTAAAGGTACACCCAAAAACAAGTGGCCTCTCCCCCCCCCCCCCAAAAAAAACAAGTTCCCCCCCCCCCCAAAAAAAAAAGAGGAAACAAGTTCCCTCCTAAAAATGGAAACAAGTCCCCCCCGCCGCCAAAAAAAGAAAAGGAAACAAGTTCCCCCCCCCCCCAAAAAAAGGAAACAAGTCCCCCCCCCCCCAAAAAAAAGGACACAAGTTCCTCCCCCCCCCCAAAAAACAAGGAAGCAAGTTCCCCCCCTCCAAAACAAAAAAAAGACACAAGTTCCTCCCCCCCCCCCCAAAAAAAGGAAACAAGTCCCCCCCCCAAAAAAAGGAAACAAGTCCCCCCACAAAAAAAAGGAAACAAGTTCCCCCCCCCCCCAAAAAAAAAAACAAAAACAAGTTCTTGGAATTTGCCCCTTCTCCAAAAAAAGAAGAAAGGAAAATGGACAACGGGTGGAATGCACCGGGCTTCAAACCAGATGCTCGGTCACTCCCCACCAGGGCCCTGGGGCCCTGACCAACTCCAGGTGCCAGCGTGGTCCTTGTCGAAGTCCTGAGATCCGCGGAAGGACAGTACGGCAGGTGGGTCAAGACGTGATATTTATGTAGAAAATAATCACTAGCGATGGCAATAATAATAGCTCTACTGTTTTGTTTCTTCTTTGAAAATATTATTGTGTTTGTTTATTATAATTATTATTATTATTATTATTATTATTATTATTACTAGTATTATTATTATTGAATATTATGTTTATTTTTTTAACTAATAGTAATAACACAACCTGACTACAACTCATAACAATAAGTAAGACTACTGGGAGTAATAATGCATAGCAATAATGAAAATAACTAGCAACAATACTAACACTAACAATAACAATAATGATAGTAATATTAATAATACTAACAATACTAAATAATACTAGTAAACAATAATAACAATAGTAATACTAATGAACTCATAACAATAATAATGATGATAATAAAAATGATAGCAATAATAATACTAGTAATAACATAATACAAACATACTAATACACAGAAGAAACAAACAAAACAAACACACAATACACAAATAGACAACTGAATAGTAAATCAACAACTAAATAAGTAAACCAACAATCAACAAACTTCATGTGCCCACACGCATAGCAAACTCAATGGTCTTATGCTGGGATCCCTGTCTGTCGCCTTCCAGCACAAGGACTGCGTTTCCCAGGTCCAAAATCCTAACTGTCCAAAAAGCGCAGTGGTTGGGGGGGTGTAGGTTTTCGATGGCTCAAAGCGGATGCAAAAGGAACCTGTCCATTCTGATCGCCTGCTATTCTGACAAACACCACAAGGGTTGCAAGAATGGCTGGGACTGTCTCGCAATTCTTGTGCCATGGCAGGTCGTGCCCGAAAAGTGACTTTGGATGTCTATGTGCTTCAGTTCGTCAACACGAATGTAGAAGGCTGTCCCAACTTCCACTGTTGCCAGGTGCTGTTCCAATGGTTGCAAGCAAGCTCGTGGCTGGCGATTTGGCTTGGCACATGGCTGGCTCAGCTTTTCAACCAGGTCAGAACCCGGCATGAATCCTAGCCCAAACCACAAGCCCTGAAAAAGTCACAAACAACTCTGTTGCACCTTTTTTTTGCAGGAGAAACCAAGCCAACTGATCTGCATTCAGGTTCTTTGAGTGTGGGAGGGTAACGCATTGACATGGACAATGATGATTACCTTTGATTGATATTTAGGCGTGTATCATTTGCGTGGGGGGTTTCTGTCCACCCCTCATTGACCTCTCCTCCAAAGGCACCCTGTCTTTTCCCATGAAACATCCCAGCGATGTCGAACACCAGCCTGGGGAAACCAGACACTACATGTAGAAGCAACTTTTATGTCACATCCCATCCCTCCAAATGAATTCAATTGATGGTATATATATATATATGTATATATGTATATATATATATGACCATTTGTGTCTCCCTCTACATGAGATCAATTGTTCAGATATATGTACTTATATATGTGACCATTCATGTCACATCCCTGTAAATGAAATCAATGGGTGGTATAAACTCAATAATATATATATATATATATTATACTTACCATATGGCTTCTCCGTGACAGGGAAGCCTGCCACCGAAAACAAAGCAAAACAAGCTCCAGCCGTGGGCCTCAAAGACGGCATCCTTGAAGGAGTCCGGCAGCTCCTCCTCCCTGCCGTGAGAGCGAAAGAGGAGGCGAGAGAATGGCTGCGGGGTCAAAACTCCAGGGGGAGCTCCCCCATTCGAAGGGCCCAGCTTTCTTCAAATCAGAGCCGTTTCTGGAGGGTGTAATTCAATGCCCCTAGTTCTAGGGGTAACTTCCCCATTCTTTCCATTGATCCCACTGGGGAAATGGGCCGGTTTTTGAAAAGAACACATGGCTGAAAAGAATGGTTGGAATCAACCCCTCGAAAAACTGGGAAGCCCGTTTTGGGCCATGGTCTATGTGGGGCCCGCCTTACGAGTACCAAGGGACCCTCTGGGATTGGTGATTATGATTTGTGGTTTGGAGGTTAGGGGGACAGCTTCTCATTTGAATAAGGCTGTGGGCCCATAGGGAAATCCGACAATAGACCATGTGAGGCATTAACACCTTGGCGCTATGCAGCCCCATTGGCAAGGGGGGCGATTTCGGCTGTCAAGTGTGATGCACTGACCTGCCGGCTGTCAAGTGTGATGCACTGACCTGCCGAGGGCACATGCCGTAGCGCAGTCGCAGGTCTTCGATCAAAGCATAGGCCTGACCGTTGATCGGCGCCGTGATCATTCCCCCCAAAAGGACCCTGCAGCCGGTGCTTGGTGCTTCCAATCATCATATTTTGTGTAAGTAACCAAGGGAAACAAACCACGTGAGAAATAAACGGAACCCTGGTCACTAGAGTGCTAACTGGAATCATTCCCGTTCCCCTCGACGAGGTCCAAAGCATAACCAGACATGGTTGAGGACATACTGTGGACAGTTTCTTGCAGCACTCAGGATGAGTTTTTCCCCTACGAGTATGAATACTTAAAACCACCACTCCCAATTGGTGTACGGCACAGAACATGTCCATTGTGTCCCGTGATCGAAGGAAATTTGTGCCTATCCTGTCGCTTCAAAAAGGAATGGGAATTCCCTTGACAACTGAATTGTGGACCCGTCGGGGGCCCGAAAAGCACTTTCCAGTTGGGCATTGGACACCAAGCTCACTACCCATCGAGTAGACGGCAAAAGAAAGTCTGAACTTGCACTTTAGCACTGAACTGGTCTTCCTTGAAATGGGAAGTGAGTATAATACGGAAAGAATCGATGGACAATTTGGAGCTCTGGCTCTGCCACATTGACACGTCCTGTGATGGGTTTCGTGTTGATCTTGTGATCTTGAAGGTTGGAACACTTAGCCCCTTTCCAACAATTGTGGAGAGACCTTGACGGAACGGTCGAACAAGCGATGTTTACAAACTTGCTTCAAGGGACACTAGACACTGTGTCCTACAATAGCGAGAAATAAATGGAAGTTTGCTTCTGCAAACCGAACGTCGACCCCGGCATCCACCTGCCACGTTGATGCCGCGTTTGGGTGTTTTCGCCCATCCAAATTCCCGCTTGAATGGGGCACCCAATCAACCCAATGACCAAACCAACGATCCCCCCCCCAATTGCCCGAACATAACAAGAGAAATAGGGTTGAATCCACTTAACAACCCGGTGTTTCTCAAAATGGGCGGGTCCCCCTTTCCTGACAAATTGCCTGCAAAGTGTACCTGTGACCTGATTTGGGTTGTTCAGTGGATTCAACCCTATGTCTCTTGTTCTGTTCAATTCACTTTGATCATGATTGCAGAGCAGGGATCTGTGCTATGTGCAGCTTGTTTATACACGGCAGACCACATGGCGGGAAAATCCGGAAGGAGGGGCGGGGACCGTTGGGGGCGGTTCAACTCCTTGGAACCCCCAGGCTCCGATCAATTCTCTCCGACGGCTCGGCTCCCCGGGGCCACGGCCTCCTGCCGCTCCAAGTTCCCGGAGCCGGTGACGTCGTGCTTGTCGAAGAGCCGCTTCAGCTCCTCCGCCGCCGGGGCCTCAACGAGAGGGGGGGGTCTGGTTTCCGGTTTTGGGTGGGTGGATGGATGGGTGGGTGGGTGGGTGGGTGGTGGCGCTGTGTGGGTGTGCGCCGATTTTTTTTGGGGTGGGTGGGGGTTGATAGCGCGAAGGACTTTGTTTGTGTTATTCAGAGAAAAAAAGGCAAGCCTTCTCTGCTCTTTCTTTCCCCGGCGGTTTCCCAAGCAACCAATTTGGGTTTGTTCTTCTTTGCGGGGTGGATTGAATCACCGAAAGAAAGCCAGCCTAGTTTTTGGGGTCCCCATAGTTTGACACATCCCACTCCTACGTGCGAGCTGAGTCAGAAAAGTGTGTCTTGAAAGGAAGCCCGAAAACCAATGCAACAAAATAGGTGGAGAGGGTACTCCTTTGGTCATCTTTGTTCCATCCTTAAAACCCACACCGCAAGCGCATCTCTAGGGTAACCCCAAGAATTCGATGGGGTCTCCTTTGGTTTCCGGTTAAAAAACCTGCCCGCAAAAGAGTACCCGCAAAGCACCAATTCGAATTCAAAGCGCGCCGCCCCTTCGGAAGCCCATTTTTAGGGACAAATGTAACCAATCGATTTCCGCGCAAGTGCCCTCCCTGACTCACGTTCTGCTCGTGGTTCTGCGTGAACTCGTTCCACAGCACTCTCCCTGCTAGAAACCACAGGCGTATGGTATTCAGTCTAAGATGCCACTCAGGCCTCACTCAATGGACCTAGAAATGCCGCCCCATGCCGGTTTTAGTCCTATGGGTGTGGCTCAAAATTCAAGAGCTAGGGATACGCAGGCGTTTGTCTTTGGTTCCACTTACCAAGGTGCCATTTTGGTACAGTTGTTGAGCCACAGCCATATTTGTTTTTCTCTCTTGACTCTTGGCTCGTTCAGCGGCCCCAACCATTCTTTGACCAGCGGTCACAATACAACAAGGCTTGTGCCTGCGCAGTTTGCAAAAACATGGGAATACTTCCAAATCGCCTCCTTCCAGTTGCTTAAGCCCCCTGGAAAAAAACTAAACAAAAACAGTAGTGATAGATTCCCTTTAGAACCAAGAGAGGAAAATACAAAAAAAAATAAAACCATTTCAGCAAATAGACGCCTCTTTTGCATCATTTTGCAGCTTGGTGCTTTCTTTGACCTCTTTTCGCTCACTCGCCTCGACGCTGGCAGTTGCGCCCATGGCTCATGGCGCTAAGGCGATGAGAACCCGACCAGTCGCCTGCTGCCAGCGTTCATGGCATGGCATGGATGCCCTGGCTTAATGAACCGAACAAATCTTCACAAAGCTTCTCTCACCAAAATGAGCATTTTGTGCATTGGGCGCTTTTGGGTGGGCTGATTCAGAAGCAAACACGACGTTTCGTGGCCGAGTTGGTTTGAAACCGGCCACGGTTGGGACTTCGTGGGACTTTTGCGGAACATGGAAACAAATTGTCGCCTTGATCGGGAAGGCTGCACACCGCGGTCTCGCCAAGTACGCGTTTAGCCCATATGAGGGCCGCGTGTAAGAACTGTTTGCAACACAACACTCACACACACACGGTGTACGACAACAAGGTATGGATTTATTGCAGGAATGCATGTGCATGTGCACTTTAGTGTCTATCAATTTGTACACTTTATGCACATTCGTCTGTCCTGTTCCGCACAATTCAAGGAACTCCCAGATTGCAACATCAGCTGAATGATGCAATGACAACTTGAAAGAGGACGCTGGTATCTAGAAAGGTCTGTCAAAGATATATACATATACACACAAGTGGTGAAACACCCAACCATACCCAACCAAACAAACACTCACAACCATGGAGGGCCCGTCTTGACACACAGCGCCTTCGCTCAGCGGAGGTGTTTTTTGTATCACAGCAAGTGGGCAAACCTCCATGAGGATGTGCTGCCAGGGTCCAAACAAGACCTCGTCCTGGCGGCGACGAACTGTAATTTGAGGAAAAAACTCATTTGGGAGTGGCGTTTTTTTCAGGGTGCCCTTTGGGGGTCGCTTGCCGCAGGAAAAGCGCTGAAGGGCAGGAAAAGCGCTGCATGAAGGCTGCTTTGTGGTGGCATATGGTGGCATGAAGATTCTGTCCACCGATCACAGCTTTTCGTACTTTGCCCACTAACATCATAGCCATACCCTGGCTATGTGGCAAGTGTACCGAAGGCATATGAAATAGACTGCCAGTGTAAAGACCGGGGTTGGGTGCCTCGGCCCTGTCCTCTGCGTGCTCCAAAAAGCCCGGGGGCACGGGAGACGTGCGCATGGCGTGCAGCAGCAGCCGCTCGATGTTGTTCAACTCCTGAGCTGATACCACAAGCATCCGGTTCTCAAATAGGGGGTCCCCTGTTTAGATGTTTTTCAGGCCAAACCAACAGGAAAACCACCTGACGGTAGATGTTTTTTCAGGCCAAACCAACAGGAACACCACCTACTGACGGGGTCTGAAAATTGGAGAACAGCCCGGGTTCGGGCCTCCAGCACCTCCCGAGTCCATGCTTGCTTTTTGGACGAAGCTGACTTGCCAACAAAAACACCGATGTTCGTTTCTGCTAGAAAATGATACCCACACGTCTGCGTAACTTGTTACACTTGTTGGGGCCTCATGTGGACGTTGTGGAGCTGGAATGCCACAAAGACTCTTTGTTTCCAGGCTTGACAGGATCTTTGTTTCTAGGCTTGACCGGATCGTCCGAAGAAAGATCCTAATTATCAGCTTACATCTTCTTCATTTACGCACCTCACGTCAGTTTATGAGCGTCTGGGATCCCGAATCCCAGCCTCCGGTGCCGAGCTCTTGTTCGCCCGGATGCCGTAAGCGTCCAGATCTGGGGGCACCTACCACATCAACATTGGCGCGTCTCGATTCTTCGAGAAACATCCTACTGAGATACCGTCTGGCACCAATTGGAATGAATCCAACCGAGGAGATTGGACGCAACACAAGCATACAAGCACGCACAACACACACACACGTCAGTGCTAGAGTCCATGAGCTTGTGGTCTATGGCGCCCGCAAGGGTAAGCCCAGTGCCAGCACGTTTTCTCCACAGCTGCACATTTCTGAGGCAGGCGGGGCAGCGAGTATGAAACAACCTGGCCACTCCAACGACAAATTCAAGGGGAACTCGACCCTGTTGCGTGGAAACAACCAAACAAATGGTCAGAGAAGAAAACAACACACACCCAAAAACTAAAAAAACACAACCAGCAACACACACACACACAGACACACACACACACACACACACACACACACACACACACACACACACACACACACACACACACACACACACACACACACACACACACACACACTCGCAAATGCGAAAAACCAACCGCCGCCCGCCGGGCCCCGGGCCCTGGGGGCCTCTGCAAATGGCCGGTTTCGCTGGCTGCGCCGCGCCAGGTGCAGCGCAAAGCGGCCGTCGGCCGTGAGGCGCCAGGGGTCGGCGCGCAGGGGGGAGTGCCGAGACCAGCTCAGGTCCTGGCTCGTGCTGAGGGGATGTCTTTATTCTAGGGGTCGTTTCCGAATCATTTCAACCATCGTGCTTTTCGAACACCAGCCCTTTTCTCTAGGGTTCTGGAGGTTTTCTAGAAAGAAGGATCCTACCCCTAGATGTATGCCTTTTTTCAGCTGAAACAAAGGAACACCAAAGGGGAACCAGCATATTTTGGCTCCCCTTGTTCACCCAAAGGGGGACTCGAAGCCGAAATTGTAGGTGTGTGTGTTCTTTGGGTTTCGCTTGAAACCAACCAAAAGAGTAGATCTCCAGACAACCATTCCCAACGAAACGTCGGTTGTACCATCTGATTTGCCAGGCAAGTTGTGGGTCGTACTCCAAGTCTCATGGAAGTGTTTTGACACTTTGCCCCAAAATTGTCTGCCAAGGCATTCATCGAAGGAGGTCTAGAAATCAGCCGGGCTTCGGGAATTGCTGTCATGCCAATGGAAGGCCGTCCCAACAAACTTCCTTTTTCACCACGGAGAGGTTCCCTGGCGTCCCTCCACCGCCAGGAGCTAGAAGGATTTGCCTTGTCTGGAACCGAGACCGGGGGTTCCGGGACACTGGTTGTGGCTTTCACCCACTTCCGTGTCAACCCTTCGAAGTTGGACTTGGGTGTCAACAAACGGTGGACTCCAAAACTGGCGGTTTTCCTTTTGGCTCCCCGCCAGTACAGGCCAGGGTCCCTTGCACTGTCACTCCAGCGAGGTGCTAGGTTGCTTGTGGGGGGGCTAGTAGGGGCTGGGGCTGGAACCCAACCACACAACTCCTCTCCCCTTCCCACACCCCACCCACCCTACCCAGCCAGCAAGAGCTTCACAGTGTCCGTGTGCCCGTTGGATGCCGCCAGCATCAAAGGCGTCAGTTGCGTGCTCGTCACTGCGTTGGGATCACTCTGGGCGAGCAGGAGCTGCAAGCAAATCCTCGGGTCGCAAACGGCAAACCGAGGCTACCTTCCACGCCTGACATCAGAAAATGAGCCCATGACACGGGACATAAGCCTCCGGCTTTCGGGAAGCAATGCTGGCTCTGCATGGCACGACAAAAGACCGCGACATTCTTGCGTCAGCAAGCCTAAGTGGAACTCTTTGATGGAATTATTGGGAGCATCAGGCCAATCCACTCTGAAAAGAGCAAACGCCATAACAAGCATGATCTGTCATTGAGCATTTGCAGCATGGCAATTGAAACAGCAACCTGAAAAACGACGACCACATCCACCACCACCACCACACCCCACCACCACCACCACCACCAGCAGCAGCAGCAGCAGCACCGGCACCAGCACCGGCACCGGCACCGGCACCAGCACCAGCGCCAGCGCCAGCGCCAGCACCAGCACCAGCACCACACCAGCACCAGCACCAGCAGCAGCAGCAGCAGCAGCAGCAGCAGCAGCAGCAGCAGCAGCAGCAGCAGCAGCAGCACCAGCACCAGCACCAGCACCAGCACCACCACCGTCGAGTTGATCACGACACCCCTGTCACCAGCCCGGCCACTTTCGCATAACGATGATGTAATGATGCTCCTCCTACATCATCCGCTTCACTGGGGACTGCTCTTTAGCTCAACTCATGCTCTGTGGGCTCAGTTCCGGAACATACTGGAACAAGTCGCCCTGCGTGTGTTTGCTGTCAGCCTTGGTAGGGTTGAGGGACTAAAGTCAAATAAGACATCCGAACATATGGGTATGAGGTTCAATTGGGAAACCTTTCGACATCATTTAGGTGGGGATTCATGTCCACTGACAACTTTGAGGTTCATTGTTGAAATTCATAGCCATCCGAGCATGAGATCAAATGAGTGCTTCTCTTTTTTCAGAGTACTTTTGCTTGGACTTTAAATGTGGGTTGGTTCAACATGGAAGCAAAAAGGGCATCTCCCATTCTGAGGGGTGCCTCGTTTCAAGACGCGCCCAAAATTTTGAGTCCCCCGGTTCTTGGATCAAGGCGCATCTCGTGGCCCAGCTGCGCGGCCAAGTGCAAAGGGGCCCAGCCCATGAGATTGCTGCGGTTCACGTACTGAACCAGCGCCTGCGATGGTACGTTGTAATCCGAAGTTCCGGTGGGCAAATCTCCCACCCGCCACCCCCTCCCCCCCTCAAAAAAAAAGAAGAGAACAAGTGGACAAAAGCAAACAACACACACACACAGAAAAACAAAAAAGTATGCCAAGAGCTGTGGACAAAAAGCAGGTGAGCAAACGTGCGGCGACTTGACCGTTTCAGCTTGGCAAGGGTTGGGTCAACTACAGTACCAACGGATGGCCCGGATGGCCCAACTGGTTCTGAGGGTCAAAAATTACCAGTCCAAGGGTCCGAGTCTACTTTGCAAGGCCCAAGCCCCCTAACCCAAAAGGCGGTTACAAAATAAGAGCAAGCCTGGGGGGGGGGGGGGGCGGGGCAAAAAACCCTAAATAAGAGAAGGCTGAGGTGACTTTTCTTGGGGAAGGGGCTGCCAAAACGATATTTCTCCACTAGGATGGTGGAACAAACATATCTGAAGATTCATGGATCCAGGCAGTATGGGCGAGGCTCAGGAGGGATTGCGGCCAGCCAAAGTCTGATATAACATGCAGTGAGATGCCGTCAATCGTGCCACCCGCCCATCCGCTCTAGTAAAATCGGGTTGCTCCCGTCCTTTCAACGCCAATCTCCCGCTACATCCTTCCCTTACCCACACAAACTGACTCTTCCTCTTCTTCTCCCACCCCCCTTACCCACCACTCTCAGGGGTGAGCTTCTTGTGTTCGACTATGGGCCCGTAAAAGAACTGGTCAAATGGAAAGGAGGGAGTCAAAACTGCGTGCTTCTTCTAGGGCATTCGTTTCAGGTTGCTTCAAAGGGAAACCACAAGGACAACCCCCATTTCCTATTGCTCCATTTGCTTAAAGGCTTAAGCCCCATGACAAGTTCTTTTGAAACAAAAGATAAAAAACAACATCTTCTTAAGCCTCCAGCAAATGGGCGCTTCTTTTGACCCACCCCCCAACGCGTCTTTTCGGTCCACAGAGCCCCGGCCGCTCGCTCGCTCGCTCGCTCGCTCGCTCCCGCCTCCGGGTTCACGGTTGTGAGCAGCGCGCGGCAGAGCTGCTCCATCCCCAGGCGGCAGCCCAAGGTCAAGACCGTGGAGCCCAGACCGTCCTTCGATTCGAGAGCGCTGTGGACTTGTCGGAAACCCATGGGCTCAAAATAGGAAGCACTGAAGCGTTGATTGGGCTTTGGAGCGCTGGGCGATTGACAGGGGCCCGTGCCGGCGGAAGCGCTGAAGCCTTTGCAGCTCAAAGATGTGGGTTTCCATGGGATGTTCAACATGCGGGAATTCCAAATCCATCCAAAGGGGGCCAAGTCCCAAAAAAAAACACTCAGCAAAAGAGCATGTGGTACATGGCCGGTCCAAAAAGTGGAGTTGGGGGGTTCCCGATTCTTGCTTCAATCCGTAATCCGTGGTGAGACACTTCAAGGGAAACTGCGAAATGCCCGTCTGGCATGAGGAGCGTGTGGCATGAGTTTCTATCCGAAAGGGTCCTGTTGCCGCTTTGGGGGCATGGGTGTGTCTTGAATTAGCAGACCCCAACAATTGTGCCTTGTCCCTTCGGTTTCACTTCAGACCAACCGTGAAAAGGGTACCCCAAAAAACATACAGACACACATGGGGGTACAATGCATTTGTTCAAGAAGGTTGAAAAAGGGACCGCGCTGCATGGGTCAGGCAAGAATCTGAACAACCGGCCCTCAAGATATGGAAGAAGGAGGTGAAAGGTCCTGCAAATTCAACTTGGGGTGCTCTTCTCCCATGAAGTTCTACGGAAAAACCATTTTGTTCCAAAAAGTCGAAGGTCACACCATCGACCAGTCATGGTGAATGGTCCCAATCAACACTTTTCGTTAGCAAGGTGCGAACAAGTGATGCGGTTTGGCAATAGTTTGCTTTCTCGATTGGAGAGGTTGAGGGAGAGAGGCGAGCCTACATCTGACGTGGCTTCCAACAAGCAAAACGACCGATATGTTTGTCCATGAGTCCAAGAGTCTGTCGCTCTTGGGGCCTTTTCAAAAGGTGCCACTTGACTGTGAAAAAAATATAAAAAAAAAATGCCAAAAACCGGCGGATGATTCCACACCAGCACCTCTAACGGCACCCCTGAAGTGCGCAGCAAACAGCCCAGAGCACACGTTCGTTCACCTCGCAAAAATGCGCCCGCACCAGCACCAGCACCTCCAACAGCCACCCCAAACAGCGTCCCAAAACAGCACCCGCACCAGCACCCCAAACTGAATGCCTCTAGCACCCTGCTCTCAATCTCGCAAAAAAAAACGCCATCACCCCAAGCGCCTGCACCAGCACCCCCAACTGCACGGCCCCCGGCATGCAGCCGTCAATCTCGCAAATCGCTTTCCCCTTCTTATTTGAAGTTAGAACTCCTATAGCTTTCAGCTATCTGGGGAAATATCCAAAAACCACATGCTCCAGTCTTTGTTAAGGCCTCTGTATAGCAAATGGAACCAAGTCAACCAAAGGGGTGCTGGTAGCGGCCTAGGCCACAAGTATTCGCCTTCGCCGAGTCGCGGTCACGGCCAAAAGATCCCCCGGCGGCAGCTGCGAAATCAGGACGATGGCAGCCTCCTCCCGCTGGTGCACCGTGAATTCCGGCGCCTCCTGGTCAGCCCAACGTTCATGTACAGCCTACCCTCCCACCAATTAACATGGAACCCTTCGACGTTCGGGGGGTCTTGGTTTGGACCGTGTTCCTTTTAAAGGGAACCTCTGTCAGGTTCCATGTTAATTGGAGTGTCTGTATCAATTGTGTGTGTATTCCGTATCAAGTAGTATCTGCATGAATTGTTTGTGTGCGTGTGTGTCTTGTCTCGTTCATGGTTTGTACAAATCGACGATTATGGATATGAAACAGCCTACACATCGTTCGGACGTTGGTCCGATTGAAGCATCCCCAACAACGAAGCCTGATCCTCCATTTGCTTAAGTCCCCTGCTCTTGTTTGTTTCTATCAAAAAACAATCAGTAGTGATCGATTCCCACTCAAACCCACGGGGGAAAATAAATGGACGTGATTCAGCGAATGGACGTGATTGACACAAAATATCATAACCATATCCAGGCTCCACACTGGCTTCGAGAGCAGCAACACTGTGCGACCAGGGACTGGCGACCAGCTTCATTGCTTAAACCTGTCCTTAGGTCCGCAAAAAGTTTGACTCGGGGGCGAAATGGACACTGCCACAAAAACCCGAAGCTAAAAGCCTAAGGGCATGGCTGGGAACCGACGTCATTCTCATGTGCACGTGTCTGGAATGTGCCAACACGGGGCCCCCTCCAAATGCTTGGCATTCCTCTCAACAATGGGCCCAAACAGGCAACAAAGTCTGGACATGCACCCATATTAGACAGTGCACGACAAATATCACCTGCCTTGAAACCCGCAACATTGGGCTCCTGCACGAAAACAACAAGAGCAACTGCATGACTCTCCACCGCCTTTACGGGGTCTGCGCGAAGGCATCGGACACCTTCCACGTGACCCATATGTTCCGCTGAATTTGCGGTTCTAGATTTTCGGGCACCGAGCATCTGCAACACCTCTCAACCAACCTGTTCTCCTGCCATACAAGTGCCAATTATTTCTCACCAAGCACCTGTCAAGCGTCGACCGTGTCCCCGCAAAGAAAACAAAAACCACAAGCACGCACTGCAAATCGTCTACCCTCCCCCGGACTAACAGCCGGAAACTCCCAGGACCTCGTTGGAAGACTTGGTTCCATGAGCGGCCTTCTGGGAGCTTCCGGCTGTTCGTCCGGGGGAGTCTACCAGTCTCCATGACTGATTGACCCTTGAAAAATGGGTCCATGACCCCATAATGTTGGGTAATGACCCCATGTTTAAAGGGTCATGGAGACTGCAGGTACCCGTGTGTTTTGGCCATCGTCAAAAGGCTTGGAGGGCTGAGAGCGCTTGGAGGGCTCCTGCCACTTCAGCAGTCGAAGGAGCTCATCGCTGGAGCTGGCGCGGCTCTTGGTCGCTTCTTTCACGACCTGCAGGAACCTGGCGTGCAGTCTAGGTTCACCTTTGGATCCCAAGCCACGATAGGTGAAGAAACTTGTTCCATTCGTTTTAGAGTTGCGACATTGCTCGGTTTCCCTTGGTTTCCCTTGGTTTCCCTTGGTTTCCCTTGGGATCCCTTAAGTTTTCCAGAAGGGAACCCGCAGCCATACACACAACTCTCGACTTCTCCCTGTGAAAGGCTCAAAAGTAAGCTATGATACAAAGTCAGACTGCATCAATGCGAATTCGGACTCTTTGCGAGTAACAAACACCGAGCAGCACTGTACATAATCTCTAATCCGAAGGGTCCCCCAATATGTGTATTGCGTTTTAAGAATCTCACAAAGTCCAGGACCGGGAATGCCAAATCTAGAATAGCCGACTTAAAACCAGAGGTTCCCCTGGCGTCCCCAACTCCAGCGCCGTATTCGGGTCGATGCTGCCTAGATGCTTGCGCCTGAAGCCACCGCCTTTGTATCCGCCCCAGCCGAAACCGAGTTTCCCGCCGGCGCCTGCTCTCTCCTTGAGGCGGCGGGGGGGGCGGGGGCGGCGGCGGCGGCGGATTTCGCGTGTCGCGAGGTGCGGATGGCACCAACACGCCGCGGCCCAGCAGAATGTCAGCCAAAGAGTCCACAGCGATGCCTCCGAGGTGTTCAGTTGGTGAATGGAATAAAATGAAATAACCCCCATCTGAACCAGGAACCGCCCTCTAGTTTTAAGCAAAGCAACCAAAAATGACACCTATGTGCCTCCGATGTGGGTCCCTCATCCCACAATACAAACTTACCTCAGTGGAACTTGCCAAAAGTCCAAACTTGTACCACTACATCGTTTCTCCAAGAAAGTCGAAAGTCCAGGAACTCAGGGAGTAAAACTCACTCCAGGAACTCAGTCTGGAACTCGAAAGTCCAGAAACTCATTGTTTGGCCCAAAAGGGGATTATTAAACTGCCCAAGGAAAATATGACGAGCCGAGTCCGAGTCTGCGCAAAGACATCAACTCGGATGGTTTAGGGAGGCCATCACAGCAAGCAAATAGTGGATCATCTGCACTCCATGGCAACAACATCTGCGCCAGAGCGGCTAAGTAATTCTTGCCAACTTCGGCCTGCAGCTTTAATGGTGCCCTCAAAGATGCGTTGTTTCCTTCGCGGCTTGCGTGAGCAAAGCCGCAAGAGCTTGCCGCTTGGGGGGTTGGCTTCAAGCGAACACTCTCTCGTATCAATCCGTTCCATGTCCCAAATCAGCTCAACCTGCGTATTGTCTCCATTTGAGTCAAAACTCCGCACCCATTCCGAGTGCTTGATTGCATAGTGGGCTCTTTTTGAACAAATTCCAACAGAAGTTCTATCAAACACGCAAAAAGAAAGAAACGCAGACGCAAGCAAAGCCCTGCTCCGCCCTCACCTTCACCCAAGCCACCCCCACCTCCCCCGCCCCCTCCGCCTGCGGGGCCCATCCGCAGACTCCTCACCAGCGTGGGGATGACCTCCGCGGCCACCTGTGCCTGGCGGCACAGCCGCGCCACCTGCCCCGCTGAACGAGCGAGCGCTTCGAGTCGCTCGTCAGATTGACGCAGTTGGGTGTGGCTCCAAATTTAACAGGAGGGGCAAACCACAGGTGTTGGTCCATGTTTCCACTTACCAGCAAAACCCATTTTGGTACCGGTTTTTTGAGCCACAGCCAGTTTGTGGGGTGAAACCGGGTGAAACATGGCATCTCCTTTGGGTTTCATTGTCATTTACCCAGTCGGTAGGGTAAGACATGTCACCTCTGCTTTGGGTTCTTTGTCATTTAGACCGAGACCAGTGTATTTCGCTTTGTGGTTAGGGCAAATGGAGGAAACCTGTAAGGGCCTTGAAGGGCGGAAAGGTAAGATAGACCCGGCGACGTCAATGTCTTCAAGTGGCGAACGCCTGGGCATAGAGTCGACTGTTCTGGTTGAACAAGGGGGCTGCCGTATTCTGAGCTTGCGCGGCAAACATTCAGAATTGTGGCAAAAGTACATGCTGAAGTGGTGCTCTTTCAGTCGCAACGGACAGTGTGTTGTTGTGAATCAGGGCTTCATGAATCTGCTTCCCTATCAAAAAGCTTCCCTATCACATTGCGGGTTCCTAAATTCGTGCTTGGTTGAGTGATTGACTGAACTGGTTGGTTGGTTGACTGACAGACCGACTGACCGACCGACTGAATGTAATCGACTTGAGTTGCAATTGAATGGATCGACTTGACTTGAGTGACTGATATGGTCTTGATTTCCCACCCAAGAGCTCCCCCAAAACGGGACACCTTCCCGCCTCAGAGGCTCCCAGAAAGCCATCAGCGTCCACATCGAACTGCCGCAGAGCGCTGTGGAACTCGAGGCCATACTCCTAAGGCACCCCTGGGTTTGTTGCTGGGACAATACCACTTTGGTCATGATCCCTTGGGTCACTGGAAAAAAAACCCTTGAACACTTGCAATACCAACGTGATCCCCTCAACAGTCACTGGAAAAAACACTTGCAATTAACGTCAGGGTTGTTCCATGGAGAATACCACTTTTGGCTTCCACAAACAGCCATTAAGGAATACCCGCAGACTTCTGTTATGGGGTCGGAATTTGGTAGCCCTGGGTTTAGACGCATGCAAATGTTGAGCCGGTCTCATATAGGCAGTACCAGAAAAACAAATCCGCACCCTTCATAAATGGATTGGGCAGAGAATCAACAACTTGTTGCTTCCCAAAATTAACAAGGAAACCCTGGTTGCACACCCTGGTGTGGGTGTGCAGAACAATCACATTTGAACGAGGCACATGCCAGTGTGCCAACCTCGATTCCGGCGAATTTTCTTGCCACTTCCGCTCGACTTCGTGGATGGTCCAAGCCTGTTCGACTTTGCCAAAACAACAATCACCGGACAGAATCTTCACCTCGGGGGAAGGCCCCTTCCTTGGATTCTGACTTCAGGCTTGGAAAAACTGCAGTTTGCGTAAAGGGAATGTAGGAACATGTAGAATTTGTCAAATCTCACTTCAGTAGGAACGGTAGAAAGGACCCTTTAGTACCAACCACTCTCTCAATTTCCAGGACTGGACGGTTGCAAGAGATTCATTGCCACGTTTGCGAAATAAGAAGCACGCACTATTGCCAATCAAAAGTAAGATTGTTTAGGCAGTTTCTTCCTTAGCACACCTGTGCCACGGGTAGAAAACTTTTGTGGTCGAAATAAATAAGCATTTCAGGGGCAGAGTTTACAATCTATGCGGCACCGCAGGTTCAAACACAACAGCAGCTAGAAACCCTCCTGAATTGAAAGCGTCTTGATCTGAGCGCTCTTTTCCCATCTCTGATTTAATTGGTGCAGACCCGGTGCGGACATCAGCCACATCATGAGCTGCCTCTGGGCGAAACGTGCCACTTCAGCTTCCTCTGGCGTCAGGATGTGCATCGCTGCCCTCGATCGGTGGCTGGGGTGGCCACGATGTGTGCTGCTGATGTCTTGATGTCCTGATGGGTGTGTTAGTGATTAGTACATCAACTCCTGCACATGACCAACTTATGCCTCAAGACTTGGCTGTGGCTCAAAATTAACCAGGAGGGGCACACGCCAGGTTTTGGCCCATGCTTCCTACCAGGGCAACCCATACCGGTTCTTTGAGCCACAGCCATGGGGGACATGCACAAAGTTGAAACCCACCTCGCCAGTGGAGTGGCACAGTCTCGCGAATTCCTTGAGGCGCGCGAAAAGTGATCCATGGCTTCCTTCACTCAGCCAGAGGGCTGCCCGTTTTCGGATCCCCCGCGATCTGAGTGACGAACTTTTAGTGGCTCAAGTGGAAATCTCCACTAAACACTAAAACGCTAAAAGGCTAAGGGGATGGCTGGAAGCCGCCAAGAGACTTAGACCCCATGCGAATATCTAATAGTGTTGCTGCTGGAAATGAAAATGAAGCAACCGCAATCAAGTGGATAAGCAAAGCTCAAGGCTAAATGCCCCCAGCCTGTTATTTGGGAATGCAAGCATTGGATTCTACCGGCTTTTCTCGTGCTCGGCTTATCACAAAGAAAGCTGACCAAGGACATTGGAGTGAAAATATGAAATCACATTCAAACTTAGCCCAAGACTGAAACGACCCTCAAAATAATTGTAAGGGAGTGGTTCGCCCAACATTGGTCTCTCGTCCCTCCATCTGGGGCAGTGGGGATCCCTAATTCTGATCCGTTTTGCGTAGTGGGACGCCAGTACAACAAGGAAAACTCACGGCCGTCAGGCACATTTTCTTTTTGCGGATTGATGTGAATTGATTTTGAAAAACCAACCCAAACCCTCATGGACCCTTGCACTGAGGGTCCGAAACCCCAGGAGGCTCAAATAGGCACTGTTTTGCAGGCCCAGGCAGTTGGGAGCCTTTTGGGCAAACCGGATGATTGGCTCACAAGGACGGGAACAGTGTGGCAGACAAGTAAGCTCAATCTAATTTTGTGTGTGTACGCTTGTTCATCTGTCTTCTGAAGCCTCAGCTCATGGCCACAGGCCGATCAGAAGGCAAACCAGCTGAGTTGCTACATCCCCAAGGATGCGGGCAGTATGCGAGCCGCATCCGCTGTCCCAGAGATCAACCAGCCTTCCAAGCCAGCAGTTGGCACAAACTGCACGCATGGCTCCCAAAAGCCCCAGCTGACCGTCCTTTTTGCTGGCCACACGCCGCCACTTTGGATGGCACGAGGCACTAGATTGCAACTAGACTTTTGAAGTGCACGTGTAGCCTCAACAATGCATGTGTAAATTGTAAGCGATAAACAAACCATAGTAATCATACAGAATGTGCATACATAGATATATAAATCTAATAGGATGCACATATAATCTATGAGGGTTTCTTAAAATGGTGGACTTGCTGCTTGGTGTCCAAACGGAACTCAAGATAAACTCAGCAATTTAGGGGTCCACCAGTCCACCAGGGCCACCATGTCGAGAAACCCCATTCTGCATATATATATATATATGTGCATGTACATGTTTGCTTGATTTGTGATCAACGGCCATGGTTTCTGCAACAAATGATAAGGCTGGTGCAAGGAGAGTGGCCGAGTGGCCGTGCCGAGTGGCGATTCTAGGCCAGACTTAAGCCCCTGCAAAAAGTGTCGTTGGCTGGTTGAAGGGGAGCGCGAAGTCTGGCAACTCATTAACTTGGGCTTCCAGCGACGTATTGCAGCCAGAAGGCAGTGCTAAACCCAGAAAAGCTCAGTCCACCTTCACCTGCGGCAAGCAACCTCTGTATACCTGTAAAAAATACCCTCCTTGCAGGGGCCCTATTGTTTGAAGCAACCACATGAATTTCGCCAACAACGCAAGACAACGGTTCGGTCTCTGCGAGAATCTTGACTGGGGGCCCAGCCTCAAACTCAGGTCTCCAGCGCTCCAGATTCGGGGCTGCCAGGTTTGGAGCTCCAAGAACATTTGACCCCGGCCTTTCATCCCACTTCCCCACGAATCCCCGACCGAAGCCGAAAAGTCCTTCTCCTCTTTCCCAATGGAGCTGGGGAAAAAATGGTCCTTCTCAAGACGACGACCGTCTTCCAACACTTCTTTCGTGCACTTGCGACGGACCTGTATCCAGGTTCACCACGGTGAACCAATCCCAACCGCGCCCCCCCCCCCGCATGATTCGGCGCCTGAATCACTTGTGAGGCAGGAATCGTGGCGCCTGGGCACCAAGCCAGCCCCGTTTGGGTGAAATCGATGAGCCATGGGCAACTGACATTGGGAAAGTGGGGTGAGCAACTAGATTCTCATGGTAACTTGGTCAGAAGATTGGTGTTGGTTGCGTGCAATTCATTCCCTTTACTACCTTAGATGGCAGTACAGTATGCTTAAGAAAAAAGATGACTGCTGCTCATGAGTATATCCGCCAACCTTCCATGCGGTCTCTGATCAACTCAGCCGGGCTGCATGTTAAACATAGTAAAGTTAGACCCTCCAATTGGAATTGGGCCCTCTATTGTTGAATTTGTTTTCGCACTTCAGGATTCTGCGACTGTTTTGGGGTCCTCTATTGTGGCAATTGTGTTTGACGGAAAAAAATCCGGACAAAAATTCGGGCAAACAACAATTTGGCAAATAAGTCGGGCAACAACACTGGCAATCAAATCCGGACAAATACTAAGAACCCCTGATTGAACCATCAAAATTAACATAACTTCTGTACAACACAGTAGGGGCAACCAGTCACGCAAAAGGGGTCGCCGACAAGAAACCCTGATCCTCTTTGATGTGACTGTTTTGGGGCCCCCTTTCGTTTCCAACTTGTTTGGGGGTTCCCAGCTAAATTAAAATTTGCGCTACTAAGCAAGTGCTGGGCATCTGAGAATCAACTTTGGCAATATTAAAGTAAAATTGGCAATAAAAAGGAAGTAGATGGAATCTGAGAGTCAGCCTTGGAAACACTAAAGTAGAATCGGCAATACAAAAGTAAGTACTGGGAATCTGAGAGTCAGCCTTGACACTATTCAACTAGAATTGGCAAAGCTAAAGTAAGTGCTGGCAAGTCCAAGTCCCGCCCAAACCCCCAGGAATTTCAATACAAAGGGTCCTCTGACTGGTTCCACTTTTCGGGGCGTGGGGGGGGAGCGCAGCAAAAAAGGTCCAACACTAGAAGTACCTTTTTCGAGGGTGTCTCTATGGAAGTTTTGAAGGGACATAAACAGGGACACAATCTATTTTGGGCGGTTCCCTTGTTTTGAGACCAACCCTGAAAATACCCTCCCCCGAAGGGAACCGTACGTAGTCTAATTATGAGAGTCTCAACACTCTCCTGACCCACGCCTGCTTCATCCCGCTCAGAAGGAATGTAATCTGACAGCATCACCAGGTCCTGGGCCGGGTTGACTCTTGTAGCGGTTTTTGCATGTGTGGTTGCGTGCAAATGCGTGGGTGGTTCTGTGTGTGTGTGTGTGCCAGGGTTTGTGTGCATTTGTGGTTGGATGTGTTTGTGTTTGGTCGTTCTTTTGGTTTTTGTTTGTGCGTGCGCATGTCTGGGTGGCTATATGTTTCAGTGTGTCTGCGTGTGTGTGTGTGTGTGTGTGTGTGTGTGTGTGTGTGCGATTGCTTGTGTAAGTGTGGGTGCTGCGTAGCGGCGCTTTTCGTGCGCGCGTGCGTGCGTGCGTGGGTGTGTGTGTGTGGCTTTGTGTGAGTGCGCGTGGGTGGGCAGGGGTGGGACGCTTATGCCGTGGTATTTTGTTCTGTTTGTGTGTCTGCATGTCTCCGGGTGAGTGTGTGTGTGTGCGTGTGTGTTGTGAGTTGCGTAGTTATGTGTGCGTGTGCCGGGTTGTGTATGTGCGTCTGTCTGAGTGTGCGTGTGTGCGTGTTCGTGTGTTTGCTGGTTTGTGTGTGTGACTGTGTGTGTGTGTCGAGTTGTTTGCTGCTGGTTGTGTGAAATTTGTTGAGACTTGTTTGGTGAATACTGCCAACTGTGATTGTTTGTTGTTGTTGTTTGTTGTTGTTGTTGTTGTTGTTGCTGCTGCTGTTGCTGCTGCTGCTGCTGCTGCTGCTGCTGCTGTGCTGTTGTTGTTGTTGTTGTTGGTGGTGGTGGTGGTGGTGGTCGTGGTGGTGGTGGTGGCTGTAACGGTGTTGTTGCTGCTGTATGTTGCTCCGACGATTTGTTGTTTGATGCTGCTGTTGCTGTTGCTGGTGGATGTGGTTTTTGCAGGTTGCTGTTGTTGTTGTGGTTGTTGTTGCTGCTGATGCTGATGTTGTTGGTGGACATGAACGGAATGTTTGGCACGCAAAAGCTTTGTTTCAGCCAGCCCGCTCTTCAACAATTTTTCCATGTTTCTACTCGCCTTTGTCTCGCTCAACAATTTTGGGGCCTGCAACCGGGAGCTGTGCAACTCCAGCCCGTCGTGGCCATTGCGAACTGAGTGTTTGCAAATGTCTCATTTAAAGAGGTGCGGGGCAAGTCAACCATATGCGATTCTGCGGCTGAACGCGGCTGAAAATAGTGCGCCAAAAATGGCGCGACAGCAATTCGCGAGAAGACAGTAGTACATGGATCCGGGCTCCAGGGTTGGTTTCTTTCACGGGCCCATCCCTAAAAACCTGCGTGAGACGGTGGTCAACCATGTGATGGCGGCCGGAGGCGGGCACGTGTCCACGCAGGTATCGGCCCCGGATTGAGATGTGGCTGTGGGTCAAAACCGTTTTGGTACCGTTTTCGAAAAAGGTGCACCGCCCATGTTAGTGTATTGTAATGGGTGTTCACTGGGGGTACGCGCTTTTGACCCATGGCTATACAGCTAGATTGGATCGCAGTTGGATCGCGGCCTGCTCGCGCTATACCCGCTAGAAACAACCTAGGAACCGCTTCTCCTGTCTCCTGGCAACCTTCTGATGGGGTTCTCTCTGTTGTTGTTGTTGTTGATGATGTTGCTGTTGCTGTTGCTGTTGCTGTTGCTGTCGCTGTCGCTGTCGCTGTCGCCGTCGCTGTCGCTGTCGCTGTCGCTGTCGCTGTCGCTGTCGCTGTCGCTGTCGCTGTCGCTGTTGCTGTTGCTGTTGCTGTTGCTGTTGCTGTTGCTGTTGCTGCTGCTGCTGCTGCTGTTGTTGTCGTTGTCGTTGCGGTTGCGGTTGCGGTTGCGGTTGCGGTTGCCGTTGCCGTTGCCGTTGTTGTTGT